AAAAAACAGATCCAGAGACAGAGAAACATTGATCAGACCATCAAACCTTAGAGCAGCGGTTCTCAACCTGTGGTTCACGACCATCAGAAAATACATATAGCATATCAGATATTTACATTACGATTCATAACAGTAGCAAAATTACAGTTATGAAGTAGCAACGAAAATAATTTTATGGTTGGGGGTCACCACAACATGAGGAACTGTATTAAAGGGTCACAGGATTAGGAAGGTTGAGAACCACTGCCTTAGAGGGAAGGTAGGGGAGGGTGGGGATAAGGGGGAGAGATCAACCAAAGGACGTATATACATGCATATAAGCCTAACCAATGGACACAGACATCAGGGGGGTGAGGACATGAGTGGGGGGGGGATGGGGGGGTAATGGGGGGATAAGGACACATATGTAATACTTTAATCAATAAATTTAAAAAAAAGGCAAAATATAAGATATCCAGCAAATGAATAGAAGATGTGGCTGTATTGGAATAAGCCTGAATGCTCAAAGTTTGTTGACCCTAAGGATGCATAACTATTTCCTGTGACCCAGATGTGAACATGCCCAGGAGGGAGGTTATTTTATGTTGTGCTTAATAGAATCCCCAAAGAAGTGAACAGGCTTCAAAAGCCAAAAAAAAAAAAAAAAAAAAAAAAAAAAGAATTCATTTGACAAATTGTCAAAAAGATCAAATCACTGAAATGGTGAAGACTATCCAGATGGACTTAGACTTCTCCATAACAATATTAAATGCTAGAAAACAGTGGAATGATGCCCCAAATATCCACAGGGGCAGAATCTGGAACTGAGGTCCCTCCAACTCTCCTCCTTAAAGAGTGGAATGTTGGCTCTGGGAGCCGCAACAGAATAAACAGATCCCTCACCCTGCACTGAGAGTTACTCTCCCATCCAGCACCCACCTACCTGCTCCCCCAGCCTTTCCCTTCCCATTCTTTGGAGGGGATCGGGTTCTAGCAATATTGGCAGTAATGGGTATGGGGGCTGGTGTTACAGTTCTCACTGGGCCTGGTGGAGAGGAGCTGGGCTCCTGGGGTTGCTGAGGGACATGGAGCAGATGCCCATTATGCTGTGGGGGGAAGCCTGTGCTATTTCTCCCAGCCAAGAGGAGAGGACATCCTGAGATAAATAAGGAAATTCTATCTGCTGCTGCCGGCAAGCCTGCATGTTGGAAACATACTGAAGTCAATGCTCTCTTTCTGATAATCTGAAAATTCCTGTGTCAGTTCACTTAGGACACATACCCTCGCTCTCAACAACAGAGGGTTATTCTCTACAGCCCATTCTTTAACAGCAGGGCAGCCTGCTCCTCCAGCTGCAATTCTTTTATCCTTCACTTAGGCGGCCAGGAATGGAAGCGGGAGGGGGAGAAGTGGGCGGTGGCAGGAGGCAGGGCCTGGGGGAGAACTGGGACCCTGTGGACTTCAGCCTGAGGCTGTTTCTCTCCGTCACCAGTTGTTGGTGCTTTTGCTCAAAGCTGCCAGGTGAGTGCTCATGCTGGGGCAGGGGGCAGCTGGGTGGCACAGGGCTCAGGGGCAGAGGTGGTGGGGGCTGCCTGGGGCTCTACACTGCCTTCTCCAACTCTACTGTGCACACCAAGGACCTGGGGATATAATTAAAGTTCAGATTTGATTTGCTAAACTGGGGGTGTGGCCTGAGATTCTGCAAACCTAGTGATGCCAGTTCTGCTTCACATGGTCCACACTTCGACTAAAAGAATCTAGGACCTACCAGGCCAGGTGAGGTGAGATGGGAGCAGTGAGCCAGTCCAGCACTGTCCTCAGTGGACATACTACACTCATACCTTCACTGAGATGGATTCTGCCACCAATGGAATCCTGAACATTTTCTCCAAAAGAATAGAGATGCTTGGAAAAATTCTTACCAAAATCATGATGGATTAAAAAAAAATCTATTTACATATTTGAAAATCCCCTCAAACTGGGCTTTCCTCCTTCTCCCAGCTACTGAGCTCACAGATATTGCTCCACCAACTAAAATCTTAACAGGGCTCAGAACCTACCAATTCTCTCTCAAATTTACCTGCAAACTATTTCTCCAGTCCTAGAAACAGAGTGGTGCTGAGCTTTGAGCTTTGTCAGCAATGCTGAGCCCTCAGCTCCCTAGGTCCTGAAGTTCAGCCTGGGGACGCTGGTCCTTGTGGGCAGAGCTGCAGACACGTTTATAGAAGGATGTGGGTCTCCGCGAATAAGACAGATGGGCTGGGGAGGGTTGGAACAGATTGGGGGGTGGGGGTGTTCACAGAGTTCTAGGAAAGCAGATGAGGGAGGAGGGAGGACTGTGTTAGGCTTAGGTCTATAGGAAACTCCCTTTGGTCTACACTTTGGGAGCTGGAGCACAATTTTGTCTGAACATGAGGCCCCAGAATGTGTGTGGAAAAAGCGTTTTGGTGATAACAGCCATGGGGCAAAGGACAGAAGGAGACTCAGAACTAGATATGGAGGCTCTAAGCCAAGGGGTTCTCAGGCAAGTCCTCTTGTCCTTTTTCTGCTCTCCCTTCCAAACCCCTAAAGCTCTGTGGTGAGGTCTGGAGACCCCAGTTCAGTTCCTAGAACCTCTTAGAGGACATTTGGATGTCTGGCTATGGCTCTGGGGTGGGCACAGGACAGAGAAGAACCAGAGGCAAGGCCTTTGGAAACTACTCAAATTCCCAATACTTAAAATATGCCAGGCCTGCTCTGTGTTAAATTGCAGTTCTGCTGGGAATGTGCCAGAAGTCCTTTTAGAGTGTTGGGCCTGCACTTGGAAATGAGGAGCTGAGAGCAAGACTTCAGAATTTACCAAATTAGAACTCAGTCTGAAACTCACCAGGAGATCCAGGGCAGAAACAATCAGCGCCACGATGCCTCCCCAGGGCAGGGACCCCCTAGACTATGAGGCAGGGCGGGGCTGCAGGCTTCCTCATAGATGAGGCTGGTTGAGGGAGGATTTGCAACTAGCCTGGAAATGGGTAGATTATCACGTCCCAACCAATAAAAGCTCTTTGAGATGCTCTTGCTTTACAGAGCTGGTAACTGAAGCCAAGAGTAGAGAGGTGATGGACCAGAGCTACCATAAACAGTGGTTCTTAACCAGGGAACAATTAGCAATATCTGGAGACATTTGAGATGAGTAGGAGAGAAGTGTGCTACTGGCATCTACTGGGTAGAGGCCAGGGACGCTGCTAAATGTCTTACACCACACGGGACAGCATCCCCCAGGGTCCCCAAACAAAATTATCAGGACCAATTGTCAATAGTGCCAAGGTTGAGAAACCCAGAACCAGCATTGGAACTTGACCTTCCTTTTGGTTCTCTGTGGAGCTCAATATCTCTCTAAACAAAATTTAATTAAGCATTAATTAAGAAACTGTTTTTCTCCCCCAGACACTTCACTATATACTTTTTTGGGGTACTTTTTTTCATCCAGTGAGTAAGCTAGTGATTTTGTTTTATTGTTGTCTTGATGTTCAAGTTAGAAAACAGATTTTGTTTCTTTAGTTACCTTTTATTATTTTCAATTATTCATTCTCTTCTCCTGAATTCTGAAGAATTACTCAATGTGCTTTTAGCACTGCAATTTGATTTTCCTCAGAATCTGTCCTATTGCCTCCGAAGTAGTTTTTTTTAAAGGAATACATTTATTTTATTAATTTTAAAAATGTTTTTATTGATTTTGAGAAAGGAGGGAAGAGAGATAAAAACATCAGTGAGGGAGAAACATTGATCTGCTGCCTCCTGGATGCCCCGTACTGGGGATAGAGCCGGCAACCTGGGCATGTGCCTTGCCCCATGTTGAACCAGCAGCCTTTCATGCATGGGTCAACGCTCAACCACCGAGCCACACTGCAGGGCCAAAGTAGATTTTAGATATGCTACTGATGATCTTTCTCCCACACTACTTGTAGTGGGTTTATACATTTAAAGATCCATTTATTCTGAATTTTGAGGAGTCTTGGAAATGAGAGAAGATACATCTCTCTCTTCAATTTGCCATCTTTATTCATGAGGACAATTTTGCATCTTTTTAGAGACTGAAAATAGGGTTCTTCTAAAAATTTTAACCCAGTTTTTTGGAAATGAATTTTCAGTGGCTTGATGTACTTATGAGTCTTCACAATCTATGACGAGGGTAGAAATATAGGGGCTGAGGAGCAGGCAGAGGTTCAAACTCGATTCTAATGACTCAAAATATGGTTCCTCACAGTTGGTGGATGGGAACATATTTCTCTGGTCAAGTGAAACTTTTGGAAGCATCTTAATCCATTCCTTTCAATTGCACAGAAGTGACCATTCTGCCTAAATTTTGGCATATGGCCTGTTCTTATCTATAGTTTATGACACTAATGCCCATTTAAAATTGTTTTTGTGCATCTTTGTGGGTTTCATAATTGGGAAGCATGTTTCATTTGCTGCCATATTAACTTAGAAGTGTAGGCTATTATTATTATAGTTAAAAGGGAGAAACCTAAGTAAGTTCATAGAGAGTAAATAAGGGTGGTCTAAATTACAGGAAAGATAATTTAGGGATCAAAAACTTGAAGAAGTCAGAAAGGACACAGATTTGGAAGGGCTAGTAGCCTTGGACAAGTGTAGGGCCACTTCTTTTTCTAAGATGCTATACAAGGAAGTGACTATGGAGAGAAGTAGTAGCTGTGAGGTTTTATATCAAAGAGTCTCTATTTTCACTGTAGTATAAGAGGTTTGCGTGGTCTTCTAAGAGTGACAAGAACCAGGTGTGTTAAGAGTTTGGGCTTGCCCTAACTGGTTTGGCTCAGTGGATAGAGCGTCGGCCTGCGGACTGAAAGGTCCTAGGTTCGATTCCGGTCAAGGGCATGCATCTTGGTTGCGGGCAATATCCCCAGTAGGGGGTGTGCAGGAGGCAGCTGATGGATGTTTCTCTCTCATGGATGTTTCTAACTCTCTATCCCTCTCCCTTCCTCTCTGTAAAAAATCAATAAAATATTTTTTAAAAAAGAGTTTGGGCTTAATGGTGATGGTTAGAAACAATGACTTGGCATTAGGAAGGCTGCTAATTGGGTCAAAGACAAAGATGACAATCTGGGCTGGTAGCATGATGATATTTTGTCCAGAGAATTGAGGAATTGCTGAAATCTGTTCCTGACCATGGCCACTTCTCACCATGAGGGAGATATGAGCCCAAGAAACAATGGCAAGGAGAGTAAAATTTAAAATTTTTCCCAGTCAATTCGGGCTTTGACCCCACACCCCATTACATTTAACTAGTACATTTTGCTGTGTTTCTTAATAAAGAAAAAGAAACAAAAAGTTCTCTTTTTCCTAGGTCTAAAGAGCATTAGATGAAAGCAAGCCTTGACACTCACTCTCTTCACTTGATTCCCATGGAGCCTCCTAACCACATCTCAGTTTTACTTTGTAATGGGAGCAGAGGCCAGCCAGACATTCCTGTGAACGCCTGAGGGCACGGGACCAGAGAGAAGCAGACAGCAAGAGAATACTGTACACAACCTCCCCAAGCTCAGCACTGATTTTTGTTCAGGTGATGCTAGCAGCCGTACCAGAGCTGACAGCCATCACCTGGGGAAATATCAGTTTTCAGAGGACACTGGTCTCTTGCTATTTAGCTTATTTAGGGTGAGAGGGAAGGAAGGAGGGAAAGAGACAAAGACAGATGCTGGTCTCTACCCAATGCTGAGAGTTCCTCTCCACTGCAGAGGGGGAGAGGACAGAAGAAAGAGCCACATCCACACTTACTATTATTATTTTACATAGATGATTCCATTAACTATATAAATAGGTGCAGTCAGAGTCTTAGTATTTGATCAGCCAGATCCTTGGAGAGGAGCAACAAGGCTTGCCTTACCCATCTTTGGATTAGGAGTGAAGAGGTGGCCTACAGCTCCTCCTAAAGGACATTGAGCAACACACCTACACTCACCATTGTTCTCTGCTCCATAACAGAATGTGTGGCAGATTCCTGAGGCGGCTGATGGCTGAGGAGAGCTGGCACTCCACCCCCGTGGGGCGCCTCATCCTTCCGGTGCTCCTGGGATTCCGCCTCATACTGCTGGCTACCAGTGGGACGGGGGTCTATGGCGATGAGCAGAGTGAATTTGTGTGTCACACCCAGCAGCCAGGCTGCAAGGTTGCCTGCTACGACGCCTTCCTCCCCCTCTCCCCACTGCGTTTCTGGGCCTTCCAGGTCATGTTGGTGGCTGTGCCCAGTGTCCTCTACATGGGTTTCACCATGTATCATGGCATCTGGCATTGGGAAGACTCAAGAAAAGTGAAGAAGGAGGAGGAGACCCTGATCAGACAAGGACAGGGCAGCACAGATGTCTCAGGGGCTGAAAGCCCCAAGCTGCTCTGGGCCTATGTGGCACAGCTGGGGGTGCGACTGGTCCTTGAGGGGGCAGCCTTGGGAGGGCAGTACCATCTGTATGGGTTCAAGATGCCCAGCTCCTTTTCATGTCGCCGAGAGCCTTGCCTTGGTAGTATAACCTGCCACGTGCCCCGCCCCTCTGAGAAGACCATCTTCCTAAAGACCATGTTTGGGCTCAGTGGGCTCTGTCTCTTCTTTACTCTTTTGGAGCTGGTGCTCCTGGGCCTGGGGAGATTGTGGCAGACCTGGAAGCAAAAATCTTCCTCTTCTAACTACTTCACAACTTCAGAGACCACCAGAAAACACAAGGAACCAAACGATAACTTCCCAGTGGTGGAATCAAAAGAACAGTTCCGAGTAGCAGGTGAGAAGAGCACCAATGTCCCTCATTCTTCTTTCCTGATGATCCCCTCTTGGCAGGACCCTTACCCTCCGGGAAGTACAACTCCCACATGTTACAAAAGAGAAAAAAGTGAAGGGATTAAGCAAATACAAACAAAACAAAACAACACCTCATAGACAGACAACAGTATGGTGATTTCCAGAGGGAAAGGGGAGTGGGGGGGGATAGGAGAGGGTATATGGAGCAGGATAAATGGTGATGGAAGGAGACTTGACTTGGGATGGTGAACACACAATACAATATACAGATGATGTTATAGAATTGTACACCTGAAACCTATATAATTTTATTAACCAATGTCACTCCAATACATTAAATCTTTTTTAAAAAGTAGAAAACCAGGTTCTATGTAGATGTTCTGATCACTGCTCCCAACCCAACCTCCATCCCCGTCAATTTGATGACTTCTTCCGATGACCCAGGACCAGAGTGCTCAGTCAGTTGTACCTCCCAGTGCTTCCACTGAGGTCTCTTCCCATTTAGAAAGTCTCAGCTTCTGCTTGATTTTCTATTTTGCAGAGTTATAAAAACACCTGGCTCCACTCTGAAGTATACCCCATGACTGGATCTTCTCCCCAACATCCAGTGAGTGGGGATACATCTCCGTGACAAGTTAGAGGCTGTTGCCATGCTGCCTAAAGCATTTCCTTGAAGAACTCCTGCTTGTGCCTTCTTCCCAGAATTTTCTGGTGTCAGCATCACAATTTTCATGGACTTTGTTTGAATAAGCCAGCAGAAACCTCCATAAAATCAAGCCTCACCCTTGTCCTGTGCAATAAAGATTGACTACTGTTGGTGGCATTCTTGTTACTAAAGACAATTCTTGTCTCATCCGGGCTCTCTCATCCGGGTCTTGACCTCACCAGGTAGGAGGATCAGAAACTGCTCTAGCACCAGCAGCTACAGCAGCGGTTCTCAACCTTCCTAATGCCGCGACCCTTTAATACAGTTCCTCATGTTGTGGTGACCCCCAACCATAAAATTATTTTCGTTGCTACTTCACAACTGTAATTTTGCTACTGTTATGAATCGTAATGTAAATATCTGATATGCAGGATGTATTTTCATTGTTACAAATTGAACATAATTAAAGCATAGTGATTAATCACAAAAACAATATGTAATTATATATGTGTTTTCCGATGGTCTTAGGCGACCCCGTGAAAGGGTCGTTCGACCCCCAGGTTGAGAACCTCTGAGCGACAGGATCTGCTCCTTCCCAGCATCTTGGATGACAGCCACTCACAGCAGATCACCCAGAGTTGGCGTAGTGCAGTGGTTCTCAACCTTCTGACCCTTTAATACAGTTCCTCATGTTGTGGCCCAACCATAAAATTATTTTCGTTGCTACTTCATAACTGTAATGTTGCTACTGTTATGAATCGTAATGTAAATATCTGATATGCAGGATGGTCTTAGGCGACCCCTGTGAAAAGGTCCTTCGACCGCCAAAGGGGTCGCGACCCACAGGTTGAGAACCGCTGGCGTAGAGCATCTCCTCATCTCTAGACCTCCAGGGAGTTGAACTATCTAAAACACTGGTGGGAAGTCAAACCTGGAGAAGATCACCTAATCCTAGATTCCTTCCCCTAACTTAACCACTAGAGCCCCCATCAGCACTGGGTGGGTGCGCCCATGCCCCGAGAAGGGGTTTCCTCTACCTGGGGTCAAGCGAGGGAAACCAGGGTGACGGGTCGACCAGATAGCTTCCCAAACACTCCCTTTCCCGCGCGCGTCACGGGAGTTTCACCAAATTCCCGAGAGTGGAGAGTCGGTGGGCTTTGTTGGGGACTAGGATACCCTGCTTTTCTATGGACTCAACCAGGCCTTGGGGCTGGAGGCTGAGAAAGGGCTCCTTTCCTAGGAGATGAGGCTGAAAAAGACGGGACTTGGGGGAGAGCAAGCCTCGAGGGCCCAGCGCCTCCTAAGCCCCATCCAGGGCCCAGCTGCACAGCCGCTCCTGCCCTCCTGGGCGCAGCCTGGCCCGGACTCCGGCACTCACACCGCCCGAGCAGCCGGCGCCTCTCACCCTCGCCTCCCAGCCCGCGGACCAGCCGGCCTGTTAGCGCCTCGGGTGTAGCTGCACCGGCGCGGGCGGCACAGGCGCAGTCGCCGCCTCCCAACCCACGGATCCCCGGCGATCCGCTCCGGGCTTCCGGGGGAGGCGAGTCCGCATCTCCATTGT